AAAATCGGAAAACAAACGCAACTCACTCAATACACCACAACTCAAAGTCAATTTCTTTTTTTGTTGCAATAAAATTACTTTCGCAATTCTCCAATCGCTAACTATTCTAATGCATCAAAGTGTTTGAAAGTGAATCGAAAATTCGTCACTCGATGAACAAAACAACATTCACAGGCTGAAACAAGTAAAACAATGAAACAATAGTTGAAAATGAACCATGAGCCATACACTTGCTACAGTTATGAGAAACTGTTTGTTCATTTCGATGCGAACATTTCTTTTCGTATGCTTAAACAGCGCTAGTGAAGGGTGATTTGAAATTATTTCCTCAACAGAACAGTCAGTGTTCAATAAGTGAACAAAAAAAAAACGGAATGAGGTTCAATATTAATCAGAATCTGACTGAGGATCATCATCCTCTGATGAGACAATCCGTTTCTTGTTGCTTTTCCCAGCTGCTGACGTATGCTGATTATCTTGCCGATCACTGTCATTATCATCACTCGACGGCAATGCACGATCTTCATCCGATTCTGATAATGAGTTGTTCACCTCAGGTGCTTCACCTTCGTGCTCCATATCCCTTAAATTAACAACTACTTCAGCATATCGTCGACTTTAATATGAAATTTTGTGTGTCCGCATAGCAATGCACTAAGCACGATAAGATAAAAAATATGATTTCGTCAACAGTGCAAATGAGTTTGAACGAATAAATATGAAGCGGCGGTGATTACGAAGAATGCATCAAAAGCACAGAACAAAGCGTACGTTTCATGCTCAGAACTGGAATGCGCTCGTATTCTAGACTTGTCTCCATCTCCAGCATCACTGCTATCACTTCCAGAGAACCGCTTCCTTCGAGTATCATTCTCCTCATCGTTATCACTATCAGCTCGCGCCATTGCTGCTGTTGATGGCTTATTGTTCGCGTCATCCGACGAACTGTCCTCCGAAGACGCCACAAATTCACGACTTTTCACTGGAATTCAACACATTATTCTTACTACATCTCATGCACTTATTCTTATACAAAACGTCATCACCATAACAAAAAGTATCGCATTCCAAAACCATTCTATTACTCTACACAAATACAAACGAAACACATACCTTTGGCTTTTTGCTTAGCACTAAGTTCGAACTCATCAGCTCGTCTCTCATCTCGAGCACGTTTCTTACGTCTTCGTTCTTTTCGTCCACTCTCATCATTTCCACTTTCATTTCCATCCGAATGATCACGTCTTTTACGTGCCCTTTTCCGTTCGGTAGTCTTTAAATTTTTGACGGTATTCAACAAACATATAACATGGCACTACTGCTAAACTGTTGCTCAAAATGAACTCCGGATCAACGTTGAGGTAAAGTTGATGAATATGGATGATTTAATGGCCTGATGAATGGGTGGATGATACGCAATTAGTTTAGCAGTAGTGCCATGTACAAGATTGAGCTAACCTAATTGTTAGTTAATATCAATTTTTTGATATTTATTATTGTTGATTCTGAATACTCGTTAAGTGAAATGCTGAGGAAATTGGTAGGTAGTAATACTAAAACCTTTTTCTTGGGTTCACCGGTGCCATCTTCATTGACCCAATCACCCATATCACTGCTATCATTGACGAAGTCTTCACCTCCATCACGGTCCCTTCTACGTCTGCCCCCTCCACCACCCGAACGCGATCGCTTCTCTTCCACTATCTGAACGAACTTCGTTTCTACAATTCCAATTCCATATCGAACGCATCTGATAGATAAAAGTGAAACTAACGGTCGGCAATCGAAGAAAATCTTTTGTTTTCTGCACAAAGTCTTGACGTAACTGCTTCAACGCCTCCAATTCACGCCGCGTCTTCTCTTCGCGTTCCTTCGCCTCAATCTCCTGTTGTCTTCTTAACGCTAACCTTTCGTCTTCTTGTCGCTGTCTTTGTCGTTGCTCTTCTTCATCTTGTGCCTTTAATTATCATTATTACAGACACCATTGGAGTGCTTCAAAGGTGTCACCTTGATGGTGCTCATCTCCACATCTTAATCACGCACTATTGCGTCCGATCCCAGCGATTAGTTCGGTTGCTGGTCTAAATTTCTTCTCATTTTCGATTGTTCCATCGAATATGTCTCAACAACTTCTTAGGTGCAAGAACTGATTCAAAGACAGGCTTCTCTCAAACTTCCTCTCTCTATTTCATTTGATCTGTGCTGTTGTAAACTAGGCCTTTTGATATCGTTGCGACCTACGATATCACAATTCGAGAGGAATGCATGTGGCCAACATACTGCATTCCTCTCGAATCGATGGCATGAGAGTGTTGGGTGATTGATCAGAATCTGGTGTATTTCATTGTATAGATCTGGGATGGATATTTCACTGATTTTATTAATCGTATAACATGCTCAAGCCAAGTCATTTCAGCTACACGCGGAGTGCATTTAGTTTTCTACAAGTGTTCATTGGAGTGTGAAGTAAGATATAAGGTTGAAAATAACAGACGATATCGGATGTTTCGTTAAAGAGATGTGTTTAAGAGTTCGTAATGTGTTCAAGAGAAATATAACCGCTGAGCCAACGAATGAACATTTGGAATGAAATAACTAGCGGAATGCAACAAACAAACAAACAAAAACCTTCGCACGCTGAACATAAGTTTGTGCTTGTTTCAGCAAATCGCTGCAGCACCGTGCCTCATTCGCCGATGTACTTCTACTAACCAAACGCGCTTGACTCATTGTCTCATCTCTGTTGTCTGATATGTAGGTGAATATACTGAAATATTTAATCAACTGAATTTTTATTACGTAATTCATCCTCCTAAATGAACTAATGTGTCACACTAACTATCTAGTAGTATCCGCAAGTACCCAAAACTTGATTCAGTGAATTCCATGGGGAATTTCAAAATACGAAATCAGCAAATTGTCGAAGATTGTGGAACATATTGAGGAATCCCGCACCGAATCACCAGAATTGATTTTGGCAATCGGCCGATCGGATGCACTTCAACGAGTAGTTGAAATTTTGGGAGGATACAGCGCCAGACCCAAAAATTTTGAAAAAAAACGCAGTCCTTAATGTTTGTTGTATTCAAGGTCATATTATCACCACAACTGTATTGAAACAACTAAACTGCACTATCTATTGAATACTGCGCAGTGAAGTGATGATAAAAACAAGCATTCCAACTGAATATGAAAGTGAAATGAAAAAAGACTAATATGAGCAACCTTTCAGCTGTTTTCAAATCGCTAACTGCACCGTTGACCATCTCCAATGACGATTTCTCATCACGCAACGTTTGAGTGGCTAGTTTTTGTAATACGAATGCATAGTTGAATTTTACCATTAAATTGTCGGGTGATTCGATTTGTGCCTTCAATAAGAATGTAACATCCGTTTCGGTTTATTTCACACCACTGAGCAGCGATTGGATCAGATTCGAATTAATTTAATGGAACGATGTGTATTCAACTTAATTCGCTTCAACACAAAAGTAACGTATTATGATAATAACCTTTTCCAGCATGAATCTACACTCATCCAATTTACCAGCTTTGTAATAAGCACGTGCCATATATTGCATCAATGGCACATCATTGAAACGTTTGAATTTCTTGACGCAATTATCGTACATTTGAATGGCAGCCACATACTGCTTTTGCTCCATATAAATATGTGCTATATTCACCCAAACGTCACAGAACTCAGCAGTCGCCTCACGCACTTGTGCGAATATATCACGAGCCTCTTGAATGGCTCCTTTCTGCGCGATTATACAACCTTTAATTGTGATTGCTGCATTAAACTTTTGAACGCTACTCCAATAGCACTCAGACCAAGACATTAATTTTGTGTAAGGTGATATCATAAATGTTGATGAATTCATAAATGAAAGCACATAAGAGCTGTGGTACAACATAAGCATCGGACGTTTGTTTGCAGTCTTTAAATAATAGAACGATTCAATGAGAGTGTTCGAATTTGAAGTTGAAACGATACGAAGAAATCTAGTCGGTATATTACACCCCAACGGATTGCAACTTCAGGAACACATGATGCAACAGTTAACACAAACCAATTCCATTTGCAGCCCAGATATTTTTCGGATGCACCTTCAACGCTTTACTGTACATCATCAACGCTCGTTCACGATAGTCTTTATCCTTAAAAAATCCGGCGTTCATTCTGCTATTTTCTATCACTGTCACCGTTAAATCTTACGGTTAAATCAGTACATAACGCAACAATCGCCAAACCTTTTCACGTTTCCGATGAACAGATGACAGCGTTTCAAGCCAAACGTTGCCGAGTGCCACCAGACTGTAAGCATCATTATGATAATCGTTCAGTTTAAGAATATATTCGAATTTCTTCTGTGCAGGTGCCCACTCACATTTGGACATGTGCAAATTACCGATTAATGTCCATGCATCCGCATGCGTCTGATTCACACTCATCGCTTCCTGAATCAACAACTGTATCGTTCGAGTTTATCATTCATCACTTCGACCATTTCTCGTCATATGATTCAATTTCAATAGTGATTATGAACTCACCACACAAACCCACATCAATTACGATACTCAACAAGCAATAAA